CATGTTCACTCTCAGGAGAAACCGCTGGGGATGCCACCAAGGAAGCGCTCGATGAAGAAGTCAAAGCTGCCGCACCCTTGGCATTCTTGGGACACTCCGGATCCTTGCTCCAGTGCCCCAACTGACCGCAAGCGCGACATGGATTCTCGGCCATCAGCTTTCGCAGTCGCTCCTTCCGGTCGGGTTGGGCGGCCGGCTCAGGTCGGCGAAAATAGCCGCGAGCCTGTTTGAGTGCCTTGAGCTTCGCTTGGGATGTGGTATAGGCAGCCATGGCGGCGTGGGTCGCCGCCTCCAACTCCTCCGGAACTGGTTCTCCCTCCCCTAAACTCCAACTCCAGCTAGTGTCCGGCTCTTCCTCCTCACCGCTGTAGCCAGTAGTGTCCTCCACAACATGTGCCTTGAAGGAAGAGGAATGCCACGGACGTCGATGCTCCTTGCCGCCAACATCCCCGCCTTTGGAGGCGGCGGAGCTATGATCAGGTTGAAGTTCTGGTAGAAGAGGAGCATCAATCACCCCCTTCCCAATCGGAACTGTACCTTGTAGGAAGGGTCCCATCCGTCTCAACGCTGGGAAGATGGAATCGCTGGTCATCTGGTTTTGAGCAGCGGCCAGAACCATCACGCGGTCCTTGAGGGTCAACTCAGCATGATCCAAAATGTAGCCCACCAGGAACCGATCACACACAGCAAAGGTGCTGTCTTCTTCCTCCATCACAGATCGCTGAGCCTGCACGCGCATGATGAAACTCTCCATGGACTCGCTGGCTTGTCGTCGGCGTCGAAGAAATTCACGTTGAGCCTTCTCCCCTCGCTGCCCGTCCAACTCCTTGACCATAGGTGAAGCCTCCAAGGCCTTGAAGACAAGATCAAGACCCCCAACTTTATTGACCTCCTCGATCTGGAGATGCCGCACGATCACGCTAGCACGGCCTGTGAGGACGGAAAGATAGTGAGGATTAATGACATCTTCTGGCAACTGACCTCCTTCTCCAGCTATCCAACATTGGACACTTCGTTTCCACTCCAAATAGCTCTCGCTGGGAGTGGCGCTGAAGGGCGGTGGATAGGTGCTTGGAATCTTGCGATGGGCAGCCTTTGAAGAGGCTGACAAATCCAAGTCCTTAGCGGTGCGCACAGTGACCACCGGTTCATTTCCATTGCGCTCTCCATCATCCGTGTCACCTTCATTGATCCGGTGGTGCTCCCATGGCCCCGGCGGCCAAAAGGATTCAGCACTGTCATCAAGGACAGGTCCTGCGCTATCATGCCACCAGGCATCTAAGCGCTCACGCCGCACCCGAGGGGGAGTCCCTCGGAGATCACCTCCTCGCTCTCGTGAATCATCGCCCGGAACTTGGGCAGGATGTAGATCAGGTACATTAAGGTGTCCCCCACCCAGTCCAGAGCGTGTGCTTCCCTCGACATGATTCACTGGAAGTTCGCCCCCTCCATCATGACCACCAACATCTTGTCGCCCTCCACCATGTGAAGGACCACGCCCATGATAATGTCCCCAACGTCGTTGATCCCAATCACCAGGTACCCGAGAACCCCAATGATGTTGAGACCAACCCGCATCCGATGAGGACCAAGACCAGGACCAAGCACCCCATGGTTCATGACGGCCACCCGATGCCCACATGTCCCACGACGAAGACCACCCTCTATCGTTTGGCCGCCATGAGGTCTCCCAGCCAAGCCACTCAGGGACATCAGCGGCCGATGCCCACGGGTCACGATGTCCCGTCGCCCAAGGATCCTCTGATCCACCCTGCACAGGTTCTAGTCGTTCCCCCGTGGCCACATCCGCAGTGTCCAACCTTCTCTCGCCCGTCTCCCTGCCTTCAGCGCCATCCGCCGCTCCATCAGCAGCCCCATCATCGGCTGCTGCCATGCCACCACCTGCCGGCCGACGCCGGCGTCCCGGGCGCCACGCGACATCCTCATCCATTGCCATGGCACCTACAGCCCAGGGATTTTCCCCGGGCTCCGCTACCACTTAAAGTGGTGGCCCGGAGCAAAGACCCATGCGACCCTTTTCACGATACACAGGCTCGAGAAGGTAGGTGGCTAGTGGACAAGCTCAAAGTGACAATCGAACATGCCAGAAGAGTCAGTTTGACTGATTCACTCATTGAAATGCACAAATTAGAATTCGACCCGAAGTTCAAATGCAGAGCCTTATCAAGCATCTATAGAGCTCTAGTGGTCAGATTGTGTGTAAAGTTTGATCAAGCAGGTACCTAATGCTTCGCACGGGAATGTCAACTCAACCTTTTCGTTCAACAACCTCGTTCTGTAGCAGTGCCCCCCACCCATACACACATGCACACACACACACACTTACTTAGGAAAAGGCTCCGGGGAGCCGACTCGAGCTTTACTTAGAGTTCTTGACATTCCAATGAGTTCGAACCAAACAACTCCAGGTATATACATAACCACCATTAAACAAACCAGGGGACCACAGCAACCAATCAACAGTTGAACCGGAGCAGGTACGTTTTCACCTCTCTGGTTGACCAGGACGCGCGCCAGGGAGTCCTAGCCTAGCCCCACTGCTGTTGCGTTGATTTTGTTGAACAAAAAGGAAAGTAATGCAGCGAAAACTTCCTTAGGAAACGGGCTTGACACACACACACACACACTTCGATAGAGTTCATCCGAGTGAGAATCCACGAATGCAACGATAAATGTCGGATCAGCGACTGGGAGTACGGATCAGCGACTAGGATCAGCGACCACGCGGGATCAGCGACCACGGATCAGCGACCATGTTTCCCTGATCAGCGACCAAGTAACGAGGATCAGCGACTGTCGGAGTAAGATCAGCGACCACGGATCAGCCACTATGTTTCCCGGATCAGCGACCAAGTGTGGATCAGCGACTATAGGTGAACGACCGGATCTATGGATCTACGACTGAGGCATCAGCGAACAGTGATATCGAGCAGAGAATCTTTATCTAGTAACCGTTTTAAACCAAAAAAGGAAAATATATATCCACAGCACGTACCAAACCAGGGTACAATGCAAAACCTCTTTTTCACTCACAGTTGAACAGGGCATCTCGCCCGACCCAGTGCATCCAATATGCGCAGATATCTTCGTAGCATGTATTGTAGCTTGAGGTGGTGATGTTTTGGACCCTCTAGAACCCTTTGCACTCTTCATTGCTTAATGATTTTCTATTGAATCCTACTGACTCGCGCACAATTTGCCTTCCAGAGGTGACCCGCAGAAAGCCAGTCTGAGTGTTCTTGCCAATGAGATGTCAGGTAAGGGACTCGTTGATTCCGAGATATTCTGATCTTTTTCTTTGTTTAGCAGTTGAACGACATTACAGCTGTACAATCCAATGTTGAAGTTGTGGCGATTTCCTATCTTGAGGCGTTTCAATTTGGGATTTGAAGCGTGGCAATGTCACATTTGGGAGAAGACCTTGGAGCCAATCACAATTGGGTTTGCTATTGCAGTAGGTTGGAGGCCATTGCTACACTACTGTTTACGATTGCGACGATTACGGTTACTACTACTGCTACTACTACTACAACTACTACTACTAGTACTACTACTACGTCATAACTTTGACTACGACGAATACTACTGCGACGACGACGACGACGACTACTACTACTACTACTTTTTCTAAGTTTAAGGTTAAGTTTTTAGGGTTAGGTTTGAGGGTTAGGTTTTTAGGGTCCTACTACTACTACTACCACCACCACTACTACCACTACTACCACTACTACCACTACTACTACTACTACTACTACTACTGCTACTGCTGCTGCTGCTACTACTGCTACTACTTCTACTACTACCACCACGACAACAACAACGACGACGACGACAACGACAACGACGACGCTACTAATGACACGAGAAGTGGGTTGGGTGCATGCTCCAGCTCAGGTTTTGCTAAGTTGATTTTCACGTGTTTTCAGACAGAAATGGCTTTTCGTGCACGTTTGATCTCAACGACTCATTCCTTGAGTTCAGGGTATTTCTACAATAAAAAACGGGGCTCAGGGATGTGACTTTGTATGGCTATACAGTCACAATGCCCATCTGGCGACCGATCGGGTATGGTTGGTTTGGTTTGTTTTCCTTTCCTTCGCTAGACCTCTCTGGTCACCGATCCTGGCGACCGAGCGACCGATCCGTCCACCGCGGTCACCGATCCGATCCGACTGCCTCTGGTCACCGACTTGTGGCGACCGATCGGGCCATCTTGGTCACCGACCCTGGTGACCGACCCGACACTCACCCACGAATGCAAGGCACCTGACTGGCTAGTTCATGGTGAATGGAAAGGTGAACGGTCAGCGTGCTTGTAGGTGCTTCAACAAAGCATTCCGGAAACTAGTTGCTGAATACTTAGCACTCTTGAATTAACTGCATGCAATCACCGTAGCTCCCATCTATGACCCCAACTTAATGGGTTAGTCATCCAGGGACGCTACATGCAGGTACAGGAACCCGGCCAAGTTTTCCTTCCCACTCTTTTCCACAGCTTCATTGCGTGTGATAGGATAGAGTGTCACACGCCCCTGCTGGAACGAGCTAGGACAAGTGGTGGAACCCTTTGGTACAGGGTGTGGCACACACCCACACACACTGGGGATAGAAGTATGTACGATCTGATCGCCACAAAGCCGTGAAGAAACCTCGATATTAAAGCGCCACCATCGAAACCTTCCAGTGTAGGTCGTCTCACAGGTTTCAAAATCTCAAGATCCAAACCCAAAGCGGCTGCAGAGCGCAAAACCGATGCAACGGCTGGCGAGATCTCGTTGGGCACAGCTCTATGGGCCTCCTGTCCCCTGCTACAGAACCAAAAGATGACCTGTGATTCCAAGGTGTACGCACCCCCCTTGTCTCAAAGTCTTTCATGGGTTAGCGATGCAAAGCGCAGAGACAGCGTGCACAATCGTGCAGCACACACAAGCCAGCAAAAATTATGCATTATGTGCATCTAAAGGGGGTCCCGGTCCCAGGTTGCGTCTCCTTGCGAGGGGGAGCCTGAGGACATGCCCCCAGGACCAAATCCAGTTCAGGCTTTTGGACAAGTGAGGATTATGAGCCAGGAACACTGTCACCTTTGAAACTTGGAAGAGTCGAAATGATTTTGGCAGGAACGGCACCGGCTTCAAATTCTTGGAGCAGAGCTGACCAATGAGGTGTGCTGGTCAACCGCTTGATGATTTTCATTGCCCACATACAGACAAACACTTTAAGAAGGTGTACTTTCTTGGAGCTGGCCGGAGGACATTGAATCCATTGATCAGAAGTTGTGTTGAAGTTTGCCAACAAAAATGTCCTCTTTGTTGTATCATGCATTCCGCGATTGCCTCCCAGAATTTGAGGGCGCAGCTCCGATGGAAGAGGGTTGATACAGCGTCCCAAACGCCGATGAACCAGTCGAATGCCCTCTTCGGTTAACTAGCGCTTGCAAAACTAGATTGCTGTGAACTGTGTGAATTTGCATCATTTTTACATGACCAAGACTGCATTTTGGCAAACTGACAGACAACTAAGCACAACCAACCCTGACCCTGACCAAATGGAGACACATTATCAGTGACAACCAGATACGACGAGTGCGAGTAATCCCAAGCCAGAAGAGTTCTATATATATTATTATATAGATCTTCCAAGGATGAAAGACTTGTTGATTGAACATCCTCAATCTCTGTTGAAGGACTCCAGCCAAAGAATAAACACCATTTGTAAATGTATGCGAGGGTTGGGTGCACAGAGAAATAATTCTGCCATGGCTGGCTTTACCTTTCTTGACAGGCCTTCCGCACAAACCAAGAGGGTCTGCGCGTTGATTGCCAAAAGGCTGCAGACCAGGCAGCCTGTGCGCGATCAGCATAAGTTCAGAGTGTTGTCCTTTACTAAGAAACATGTTTTGTTTGGAAGGCAGAGAAGTTCAAGTGCACTGCCAAGGCCACTGGACAGAGCTTGTTTTCAATGTGTATAGCAAGCAGTTGAACAGTTACTTATGTTACACATGATGTACTTGTGACTGTATACGTTAAAATATTTTGAAGGCTCGAGCTGAGGATCTTCGCCTTGCCAAGGAGGTAAACCGACTGGTGCTAACGAGTTCCAAAAAGACGCTACATTGTAAAAGAACTCTTCCACTGCGAGGGCTTCGCTGCCACAGTGACGGCCTTCCGCTCTGCGAAGGTTAGGGGCATTCTATCAATGCTTTGCCAGTTTGTCTTTCTGCATCTGTGCAGACTTCCTTCCTGGAAGACAACAAGATCCTTCAAGTCAAGCGGAAGGCATTGAATGGAGCAGATGAGGAACTCACGAAGCGGCAGCACAAGCATGTCCTGGGTTCATCACCATGGATTGAGGAGCTGAAGATATGCCAAGCCAAACTTGCGAAGGCTGGGCAATGTAGGTTTGGAGGGTAGAGGCTCGAGTAGATGGTTTGGATTCTGACTGGTTTTGATGTGGCACTTGGTACACCTTCGCTCTATCACTGCGACCCTCGCTGGTCCTCATGAGACCTTGAGTGTGGTTGGTTGGTGCCCATTTTGCGTATGTAGCTGGAAATGGCAAAGGTGACAGGCTGCAGACAAGAGCTGGAACTTGCTGTGCAGAGGCAGGGGGTTGTTTTTGGTTTGTATATATATAATATATACTATATATATATATTGTTTGTTTGTTTGTTTGTTTGTTTGCTTGCTTGCTTGCTTGCTTGCTTGCTTGCTTGCTTGTTTGTTTGTTTGTTTGTTTGTTTGTTTGTTTGTTTGTTTGTGTGTTTGTTTGTTTGTTTGTTTGTTTGTTTGTGTCTAGTTCAGTACCAAGCAGTTTATTTCCCCCGAGAGGCACATGCCAGCGATCATACAGGGGAGCTCCGTGGGAGCCTCGTTTCCACTGTTTTAAGTCCTAGGTGAAGGATGGCTCCGATATGAAAGACCTAGGATATCCAAGCTCACGCGGAAGCTGTTCTTCTTCTCTTGGATTTGCCCTCAGCTTGTTCTCAGCAAGTGAGTTGATTTTCCTTCGCAAATCTGGAACTCTCTTCCACTTGAGGCACGCGTTCATTTGGAAGACTCTCTCAAAAACGCCGCCTCATCTTCGCTGAAGTTGTCACCAGAGGAGATGTCGGGCTGACAGTGTCACATTTTTGTGTTGCGCATGGTTCCCCGTTGTATTGACACTTGGACAGTGTCAATGGCTGCTGTGTGCACTCCAGAAGCGGGGTGGCTTTGACAAAGCTGTCTTGGAACAGCTTTGTTGCGCCCTCTCCAAGCTCCTGCAGGTGCAGCTAGCAACAATTTCATCCTGTTTCAATTGCTTTTTCGTTAGAACATTCTCCGTTTCTTTGTGTTTCATGTGAGATTCAGCTTGTTGCTGGGTTTTCCCATCATCTTCGAGGAAGTTCCACCAGCGGATGATGAGCAGCTAGCTGTTCAGGACAATCATCCCAATTAAGTTATGCCTTTGGGGAGCAGCTCCTTCAGTGGGCAGGATGCGGGCAGCACCCAGCGACAGGCATCTGAAGCTTTTATTGAGGCCAAGGGAGTCGATTAGAATTATATTCTGTGTGTATCCTAACATTTGCTGGATGCTGGATGTTGAAAGCCTTTCAGACATTATGGATGTGCATGTTACAACTGCAGCCACCCGACGACTGACACACGTGTTCACCTTGGTATGCTCACTTCTATTCAGAGAAGCGCAGGCAAGGCAAAGACAGTTGCAGAGTGCGCATTCCCTACAACTGGCAGAGTTGGCTTTGCGGCAAGCCCAGAGTGTCAGCCTCGGATTTGAGGCGGTCAGTTTATATACTATACTTGCTTGGATTGTTTGGTATTGGTATGCTTGTTTGTTTTCGTTTGTTTCTCTTTACATTCTCTGGTTCGAACATCCCTGTCTTATGAGGTGATGAGGGCATGGCCTTTGAGTCTTTGAATGACGTGCAGCAGGTGTCAGCCGGCAAAGTGTTTGCACTGACGATGCTTCCTTCTTGTTTGTTTCTGCGCTCACTGTACACAGAAGAGTATAGAGTAATTAAAGTTTGATGCCGTAACCAATTTGCAAAGCAAAGACCCTGGCAACATCTGGTATGAGGCCAACAAACATGTTCCGCCCTCCCAATGGAAAGCCCCTACCCGGCCCTACCCCTTGGCCCGAGACTTTTCGACCCCGGCGAACATGCAGTGTAGAAAAATAGAGTGCCATCCGACAAATTTGAGACATAGGCGATGACATATCTTATTCTGAGAGCTGAGTATGCCCTGGCTAGGAACTCGCAGCAGCTGAGCTTCAGCTGAATGTGGGATCCTTTGGTGCCACTACACACACACACACACACCCGTTCTGTTTTGTCTACAGAATGCGAGTGCTTCCAGATTGAATGAAGGACAGATATTGAAGTACCGAGATTGCACTGCCAAAGCGTGAATGTTGAGATTACATTCACACAAGTTCTGAAGAATACAGACGAGGCTGCGAGGAGCGTCTTGAAAGACTTTGACGAAGGTCCCATGACCTCCCTCAAGGCATGGTCTTGTTGAGGGTGAATGAAGATAATGAAGGCAACAAAAAACACTGGACGAGGTTTTAGATGGGCTTGGATTCGCCACGGCCTCATTTCGACTTGTATAGCCAAACAAAGGCTTTTTGCGGCATTCCCCAGCAAAGCAGAGGTGTCACAAAACGACGGATGCAAAGCAAAGCAGGACTGGTCAACGAGGTTCAATGACCCAGCTTCGTGGCCTTGACATGCATGTTTTCGTTGCCTTTTGAGGAAACTCTCGATCCGATGTCTACGGGTGTTGGGCTCCAAGCAGAGCTGACACAGCAGCTACATCGACGCAAGTCAAAGGGCTTGAGCCATTGCAGATTGGTTTGAGGTACCCACACCAGTGAGAGCTGCGTCAGTGCTCTAATTTGCTTGCCCCGGACTTTCTGCGTTTGAAGGCGTCAGAGAGGACATGCTGTAGTCTCGGCATCAGTTCATATGTGAGGGAATCATGAAACATAATGTTGCACTTCCCAAGTGAGAACCTGGCCACAAATTGACTGGAGCTGCTTTTTGCAACACTTTGCCGATACGCTGCGACTTTGGCTCTGCACGACCTTGGCTGCAAAATCTCCTTGTTGACAGGAAAGCAGCTATGAATTTGCCACTGGCACTGCTTTGTGTGGTTTGCAGCACTGCGCTGCATGTGGGCTTACTGCGACTTGCAGTGCTTGAGCTCACAAGCTTGGGGAGAATGCTGCTGTTGGGTATGATATCCCAAGTCCCTCTATAGTATCCGACCTCAAACAGTTGCAGACTTGCAACTTGCAACAGCTCTTTTCGATGTTTGCTGACCTTGAAATCTGTTTGTTGTCCATTTGCATTGCTTGCTCCGACACAGCAACTCGTGGAGAAAGGAGAAGACAAACTTGCGTCCTCACGCAGAGTAACTTAGCTTCTCAACCACAAATATACAGAGAACGATTTGACATGTTTGACACGTTTGAAGCAGCCTATCCTCGCACTCTGTGAGAACATTGACCTCAAGAAATGATATGTCGGTCACAAACAAGAACACGACATAGAGTACATCAATCCAGCGTGCATTACTACTGAGAATGCCACTTGCAAGGCCTTGTATAGGCACATACAAAAACACGCTTAGCTACAGCAATGCAATGCATGCAAAGATGTTCGCATAGTTTGGGCCTATTTACACCATCGGAGTTAGCAGCTGAACTGCATTGAAGAGGCTGCACATGCAAGCCATAGGCCCGCCATAGGCCCACCATAGGCTCCACCTAGTGCCTTGAAGCTAGTAGCCGCAAGGGTCCCATGATGGCATCATGGCGGTGGAGGAGATCTTGCCTGCGAGTGTGAGGGTAAAGTCTATGACGCAAAAGTCTGCAAACGTCTCAAACAGCTTGATCGTCATAGAGAGATGTGAGAACGATTCTCTCATGCTTTCAGCAACTGAGAATGCTCTTGTTTACACAGCCCTTTGGAGGATTTCTTGCCCAGCGTGGAAGCCACCCAGCTTGTGGTGCGGAGTGGCGAGGGATTTCATGAGGTCGCGGCCTTTCTTGGTGTGTTTTAAGTCTTGCACAATGTTTTTAAGCGTTTTGACGTTTTAGTAAGCGCTCGATCTTAGGATTTTCCAAGCTTACACCAGCTCCTGGAGTATGAGGAGCCTTGTGAGGCTGTATTTGTTGCAAGTGGAGACCACCATCCAGTAAGACAGTTGCCTTTAGAGCAAAAATACATTTTGCAGCTTGTCCATGCTGCTGCAGGTTTGTCGGGCTATCCTTCGATTGATGCGACGGCTTTTGTGCAGACGATCGGAGGCACTTTCGGTCAAAAAAGTAAGAGTTGCCTATTTGCTCTCGTGGGGCTAGCACGGCCCAAACAGTCAGCTGCGCTGGTTGGGCTAGAGAAATACCAGAAGCTCATGGTCAGGGTAGAAAGAAAAGGGTATATATTATATATGCTTTCTGATCCCCCAGCGGTGTTAGCCTATAAAATGCCGATGCTTTTACCCGATATTATGCCAAATCTGACCATTTTATAGGCAACATGGGTGGGACACAGCCTGAATTTTGTTGCGTTTTGGAGGGATTTGGAGGTATGAGATCCATTTTGGCATTTTGCAAACTTATATAAAGGATTTTGAGGCTCTGAGAGTCAAAGGTAATTTTATAGGAGGATTGGATTTTTCTTAGATTTGATACTGGGACATGGTCAGGGCATTTTATAGGCAATTTGGTTTTTAGTGTTAGATGAGTACAGGACCCAACAAGGCCATTGTAAAAACTAGACTGTTTTGTCAATGTTCTTTGACATGTTCATACATTGTCCAACTTAAAGGACAACAGACTATCTAATTATTCAAGAAATTCAATATAGACAAAGCAGGCTTTGTAATTAGCTGGCATTCACCTGCTGGTCGTTTCTTGCAGTGTTGGTTGGCTACATGGAGACTTTTGGGCAAATCTTGACATCAGAAACATTTAGAGACCAAAGCGGGGTCTCTGGGCCTTTGGCATGTAGACACAGGCAATCAGGCCTACCTTGCACAATGGTAGTATATAAATTGCTCCCGATGCGTGCCTGCTGGCGTTAGGGCCCTTACACCTGCCCTTCCCCATTTTATAGGCAAGCATGCCAAGCATGCTTTGTAATTGGATGTAGTTTATAGCTGCACTTCACCTGCTGGGCTGTTCTTGCAGTGTTGGTGATACGGTATACACAATGCCCCTGCTGGGTTCCTGCTACAGCCCTTGCGCCTGCGCCCCGCATTTTATTGACTAGCTGGCTTTGTAACTAGCTGGAAGCCATCCCACGGTCACAGGCTTTTGGGTAAAGCTCTACTTTTGTGAGTTTACGTGTAGCCAGGTGAGGGTGTTTAAGGCTTTTTTCTTTTAATGATTTATGTTTTTACTATGGTTTCATTATGTTTGTTTGTATTTTGTGTGTGTTTGTTTCATGTAATGTGTTTTTTTTCAATATGTTTGTTTATTTTTTTTGTTTTTTTTGCTTTGTTTGTTTAATTTTAGTAGTGGTTGGCTTCAATATTTTTGTTTTCTTTCAAAAAGGAACTAGTTTTTTGTTCATGTGGATCATATTCACATTCAATTTCATTAAACAATGTGTAATGATTAATGTCATCTGCTAGCTATATTGCACTGTTCGACTGAGATTATGGCGGCGTGAATTTGACAAAACCATATTTTCTTCCGTGTTGTTTTTCTTGGTTGGCCATTGAGGCTTGTGTTTTCTTGGCCATGTGGCCACAGCTGTTTGCTGTTACGGATATCAGAGCCCGGTCCGGTAATAGATTGTTGGGGATACCAGTATGTCATGCTCAATGACCCGATGTGATTCATAGCTCATTACTGACTACTGACTACTGACTCTGAAAATGTTTGTTCTTGTGACAAATTGCCGCCCCGGTCGCGGTAAAGTGCTCTGCTAAGGCTTAGGGTGAACATCGACAATGGGCCGTTTAGCAGCTAGCTAGCTAGGTATGAAACTAGAGGAAACAATTGAAACAATCGAGCAAATTTTGTCAGGTTGCTGTAACAGCTTTGCAACTGTAGTAAAAACGAAAACCAGTCGATAGGCTAGGCTGGAGTTGTCGATGGGCGAACGCAGTGAGTATAGAGTATAGAGTATAGGGCTAGGGGGTGTGGGGGAGGGTGGTTACAGGGCCGGCAGCAGCAGCAGCAGCAGCAGCCGCCCTTCTGTGTTTTCCTCCACAAAATAAACAGTCTAAGTTTACACTTACCCCGGGCTTCAGCCTAAGGCCTAAGGCTTAAGGGCCAAGGCCTAAGGTAAACCCTAAACCCTAAACTTTTTTAGGCATAGCACGCTGTGTGCGGGCAACGGTAAAAAAACATAAAGCACATATCAAGAACATATATAAAGCATAAAGAAAACATACATAGAACAGTAAAAACATATTGGCGCCAATACAGGCAGTTTTTGGACGACATTTTATGTTTTCATTTGCGTGGGGTCCCTCTCCAGGTGCGAGGTTGGTAGCAATGTGGCGGCTAAGCCTAAGCCTTAAACGGTCCCTGAAGGCTGGTAGGGAGGTGCCAGGTAGGACCGACCTTTGCGAACTGAGCAGCCAAATTTAGGGCCTAGGGCCGCCTGCCGACAGTCACTTTTTCTGGCTGCCACTTACAGTAGTCAAACCAAATAGCTGTAGCTAGCAGCTTCGTCACTAGTCCCAACTTCTCTGTGTCAACTGTCAACTATATATTATGTTTTACTTGCGGCTAGTTGGTTAGTCAAGCCATGTGCTACATCCGCCTGCAGCTCGCCCAAAAATTGAGACAGTGTGCTAACAGCAACAGCTTTGAGCCAACAAAATCATTTGCAGGCTAGCGGTGAGGGTGCTAAGAATATTTCCGATTTCCCTTATCCGTATCCAACTTCTTTCGGCCGTGACACCGTGTGTAAGGTCACTACCAGTCCGCCTCTAAGCCTCTTAGATTTTCAGCCCAGCTTCTTTTCAGCCCAGTTTTGTTTCGCAAGGATGCTTCATGGAAACTATGGAAATATCGAAACAGACACGCACGGGTTGAATGGAAACAGGCCCTAAACCTGAAACGACAGCTTAAAACAGCTTTTTCTCAAGGAAAACATATTACTTAAACGCGGAAGTATAATAGCAATAAAACAACAGAGAAAAATGCAGCAAACAATAGACACAAAAGAAGCTAAATAGCTAAAGCAATTAAAAGCATTAAAGCCTGAAAGCAATTTAAAAGACAAAACCATTAAAATTTCAAGCAATTTAAAGGACAAACACATTAAACAGAAAAGAACACATAAAGACACAACAAAAACATAAAGAATCATTCTAAAACATAAATGAAATCAGGGCTAAATATAAAACATAAATACAAACCGTATTAAACACACAAAAAATTACAATAGTTATTACTTGAACGGGCTTTTTGGTGAACGTTTGATGTCTCAACCCTACTTGAGAGACCCTGGGAGTGGTTTAGAGACCTATCCTCTAAGTGGGGACCTGGCCGTGTTTGACAAAGTTCTGCGATGTTTCTGAATTTGCGCCTTTATGTTCACCCATCTTTTGGCAGTGGGGCCTTCGCTAGTCATTTTATAGA